CAAAGAATATACAGGAAGTCACAAATGTTTACATCCTGTTAGATCATCTTTAGGATGCCTGTAGTTTTTAAAAAACTTTTGGATATATAAATAAATTGTAGTAGTAGTAGTAATAATAATATGCAATTAAAGAGTAACTTTAAGTCTTACAAAGGGGCAAAAACAAATACTCTCTAAATTTTCTAGAAGTTTTTATAGCTAAAAATATGTATATATGTATGTATGTATTTATTGTTCCCTTTTCAAAACTCCTTATATATATATTTCCTACATGTTTAACAAAAAGTTAAAATTTGCTGAGTGCTGCTGGGTAGGGATGTATAGTTTGAATACCAGTATCAGAAGAGGAACATTAAACAGTATGGCAGCAATACACCATTGTAACATCTAGTCTGCCTAATCCAAAGAAGAAGAGTGGAATGACATTTGTGGTACCGGGAAATGGTGGCAGAGTGAGACCTCTGACTTCCTCCGTGCTAAAGAGTAGCTAGCAACCCTTCACCATGTCAGCTTTATGCTGTCAGAAATGTTCTCCACCTCAGCTCTAACTTATTTATCCCCGCCACACATGGGGAGAGGATGAGCTGGCGCTGACTCACTGACGAGTGGATACAGATAAGCTGCACTCGCACTAACTAACAAGCAGCAGTGCACAAAGTTCAGTTGTCTGTGCAGATAAGCAGCTGGCAGTAGAACAAAGAAAAAACCTAGACATTAACTCCTTAGGTATTGAAATTTGGTACAGAATGACGAGGCATTTTTCAGTACCCGGTAGTATCAAAGCAATTAAAAAAGTATGGAGGTTGAACTGCAGTAACTCCAAGATTCTTATATATTGGCTGTGAAATGCGAAAGCATCCCATTGGTGTAATAATCTTTGAGATGGTGTGACATATTCAGTTGAAAAATATCAGAAATCGAGCTGCTTTTGAAAACTGGGACGATTGTGAAAGACCGATGTAGCCCACTGTCCGTTCACTGCCATGTGCGACATCTGGCAGTAACTTTAATTTATATCCGTTGACGCCTTTTATCGCTGCACTGTCCTTTGTTGGCCTGAGTCAGACAATTAATTAAGAAGAGAAGGAAAAGAAGGGAACAGGAGAGAAACAAGTTGATCTTTTGTCTTGCAAAATTTTGGCCCAAGCCCCCTGGATGAAGCCATAGTGGTGGTGATGTATTCACTGGCCTGCCAACAATGGACAATAGAAAGGCCAGAGCGGGCGAGGGAGCAGGCCTTTTGCTTTTCAGAGGCGTGTCAGGCCAAGCAAAAAGTAAAGTCGGGCAGAACTGTGGGAGGGGGTCATGTGAGTGAGCGGCCAAAAGGGAGTTGTGCCAGGGGAGGGTGTATGGGAGGGAACAGTGGGACTGCTGTGTCTGATAACAGCTTTTCAGAGGCATAAAGACACATGCAGATATGCTTTTGTCCCAGTGGCAAGCAAACACGGACAAAGACACGCTCACATGCACACACGTACGCAGACAGAATGGGAGGGAAATGTCAGAGGCTCAAGCAGAAAAGAAAAAATGTTACTGTTATGTGTCAGGCTTGGGAAAAAAAGGTAAAACCGAACTAAACCGTACCCTACTGCAGGAGGCAGCATCCTACAACAGAACTGTCTAATACTACAAATGCAGATGTGGAAAAAGTTGTAGAAAGCTGCGTGAAATCTAAAACCGCTTCAGGTGATTTCACCTCTATAGCTCTTTCCTCATCTCTCTGCTTGAGGCTACATTAGCCACTACCAGTGTAACACGCCTGAATATCTTACCAAACTGTTGATGGTTGCATTGTGGGTAATGTGGGCACAAGTTTTGACAAGTATGAAAAATGTGTGTTTACTGTCCATTGTGAGTCTGACAACATTATGGTAGTGTAATGCTGAATCGATGAGTACTTTTTTGAGGAACTCTGACTCAAAGACAGACAAGAGCGTGGAAATCCACCAGAATCCAGTTTACCTACTACATAAAAATCAGCTGCTTGGTTGAAAAAAAAGTGAGTAATTAATATTTACACAAGAAGTGCATATTGAGGAGATGGATATTGGCTTTAATCTATCTTTAGATGACAGCAAGACTTGGGACTTTCTCTTCAAACCCTTCTGGTCTTTATTTTCAGTTTTCCTGAGAAAAACAATTTTTAAATCGTGAATTGTCCCCAAGCCTGAAAAGACCAAGGTTTAATTTTTTTGGCCATATTGCTGAGCCCAAACATATAAGTGCATATCGGCCAATATGAGTGCTAAATGAAAATTCTGGAAGAAATCATTTTCATTGGGTTAGGGTTTTTGAACAGATAATAGGTTAGAGTTTTGGAGCCAGGAGCGGCAGGATGGTAATGTCTGTCAGCCCACAACTTTGGTCCAGACTGAAATAAACACCTACTGGATGCACTGCTATAATTGGTACAGATATTTCTGGTGCCAAGATGATGAATACGGTAATCCCCTGACTTTTCCTCTAGCATCACAATCAGGTGAAAATGTTACATTTTTCCAATACACTACAAAACCAATGACATTCCCATCAGCCTCAGCTGCACTTTGTGACAGTGAGCAAATGTTAGCATGCTAATATGCTAAACTAAGATGGAGAACATGGCATGTCATTGTGAGCATGTTAGCATGCAGACATTAGCATTTAGCCTGAGTACCACAGTGTGGCTGTTTATTGTTGTGTAATTATTGCTGTGTTATTATGTAAGTCAGGCTGAGCCAGTGTAACAGAGTGTTGTTGTGCCTTCTATGCACTGATCAGTGCAGCTTCAAGTTCATCCACATTTCTCTTGCTGTCTGCTGTTGACTCCCCACCAGAGCACATGCACAAACTCATTCAAACGAGATGGCTTTGGACAGAATTACTCATTCTCTGTGACTCTCCAGAAATAGGCAGCCAGCATTAATTGCTCTGCAGTTTGAACAGACAGCCGTCAGTGAGTCAGCAAGCTCTGTAACTGACACTTCTGCAAGTTAATTTCCAAGTAGCTCAAATGAGTTATGCATGGACTCCTGTGAGCTCCTTCCTGCACACGCAAACAGCCACACAGCTGTGCGCGTCACGCAGTGTTGTATAACCAGCCTGCATGCTGGCTGCTACTTAAAGAGGCCCCGGCAGGCAGGTAGCTTCTTGCATATTTGATGGGGGTTTGTGTTTAATCCTGGCGCCACTGGGACACAGAGACCCCCCCACCAGTTGAACACTATGTGGACAGACTCGGACCTGTGTGCTCTTATTTGACTGGTCATTGGGGTTAGGCAAACACTTGGAGCTGAATAGTTTTAAATTACCCCTTTGTTGCTGTCAACCGTCTGCTCCTCGCCGGGGTCGCGCTTCGTCGTGGACGAGGCTCTGGTCTGCATGGTCCTGGTGGAGCAGCGTAGACTGGAAACCCCCCAGTTACCTCTAAACAAAACATTACCAACCGGCTCCCCTCCGCTGCTGTGGCGCCTGTTGGCACGGAGCAGCGGCTGTCTGACAATATCTCTACCACCGCCTTCACTTTGCACGCGTTTGGAGAGATTCACAGCCACCCGGTCCAAGTGACTCCAGTCTGTGATTACAAAAGCAGACGATGAGTCCCGGTTCTGGTCCGGTTGTTGTTGTTGTTGTTGTTTCCGCAGGTGCGCACGAGTTGAGTCGCCACCCCCGACGGATGCACAGAAACACCGGTGTCCCTGAGACGTGTAGTCCTTGCGTAATGTCAAAGTGACGTCCCCCAGTCTGTTTGCTTTAACTTGCACTAGAAACGAGCCCGTTGACCTGAAAGCCTGATCCAGAGCCGCTGCAGACAGCCTCCCCGGGCGACACAAAAACATTGTCCGCCCTGAAACGAGCTCACTGTCGTTTCGGGATTAAAAAAAAGCGAGTAAATAGTCTGAGAGAACTAATTAGGTGTATGAGTAGCTGTAAACATGCTGCCCTGAACCCTCCAGCCTCCCTCCGGTCCGCTTGTTGACCGATTATCACCAACAGCCAATGAGGGCTGACGCGCAATCGCAGATAGTAAAGCCTGGAGAGGAGGGAGGGGGTATTTAAAGGTGTAACCGTGTTAATTCCTACAATTGAGTTATATCATGAACCGTATGTGGAGTAAATGTATCCGAGGGCAATGTGTGTGTTTTTTAAAGCCAGGCAGCTCCTGGTTCAAGTATCCCTACAATAATAAATACAATTGTCTTCAAGTCCAAACTGCTGACAGGTTGAGTCTTGAATGTTGTTGTTTCACAAACCAAACCAATTCTTTTAATTCATTGACATGTTTTCACCAGGTACATGTGTGTCTGAATCAACTGTGAGGAGGAAGGTCAAAGTTAGAAGGCACAAAAAGCCAAAAAACAAATAAATAAACAAAAGTAAATGATTACAAGTTCTAAAATCAAATGACATGAACAGTCCATAAAAAAGAAAAATGTAAATATATGAGCGTGAGGTACAACAAAGACTAAATGAAGTTGACAAAACAACATAAATACACTAAATGATTGTGATAACACAGAATATAGTTCATTGTTTTCTCTTATCTTCTCTATGAATGTTACTGTGTGTTATGGGGAGATAAGGCTGGTCAAATAACAGACAGAAAATATATTAAAAGTCATTTTTAACTGTCGACATGATGTTTTATAGCCGTCTACATCTCACATAAAATAAGTAAAAACTCTGAACTTTGCTATTTTTTCTTTAACTATAAGTAAAGCCAAACGTTTTTCTTCTGGTTGAGGAAGTATTGAGACCTTTTAATTTAGGTAGCTTTACCATATGATAAAAAAATCCTCCAACCCAAGTAAATCTCATATATTCATAATGCATTACTGCAGCAATGTTTAAGCTGTTTGAGGTGGAAATATTTTAAATAACCTTGATATGCTATTGAGTAGTTTATACAAATATATGACATTTTCTGAACTGATTATCTGTGTTGTATGTCAAATCTTGATCTTCAAAGTAACTATAAAGTAAAAACTACATTATTTCCTTTTGAAATGTAGTTGTAGATTAAAGAAACATAAAAAAGGAAATGGTCAAGTACCTTTTTAAAACTGGAGTTTTCTTTGAACCATTGCCTTTACGTTTCTCATGTGAATTTGCATGCCTATGCAAAACCAGATAGACGTACAAACAAAAAGCTCAACCTAAAAAGGAAGTGGTGGGAAAGCACGAGCTCAGAAATCTCACCCAATGTGAGAAAAGAAAATAGTTTGTTGTTGTATATCAGAGAATGCTGAAGCTTATCTGTCATAACTGTTGCATCATGTGATAAAAAAATTATACTTTAAGATGTAAAAGGGCACTTGTGTGTGACATTTACAGCGTTTTTGTTAAACACGTGGTACAGTTAGAACTGCATCAGCGCCCACAAGGTGGAGAGAAAGGAGTGAGAGTGAGTAGGAGGTGAGATAAAGACGGTGGGAGGTTTGGCAGGAAGCCACAAAAAACGTCCCACAGTCCGTGCACCAACGGAGCCTCTGACCTTTCCTCAGCAAAGCCACAAGATCAACATGTGGGTTGATTTTAAAATAGCTATTTATTTTAAACCTCCTCTTCATTTTTGTGGTTGTGTAAAATATCATTTTATTAGTTAACAATTGGACATTGACTTGCCAGCAGGAGACACCACTGAATGTGAATTTTAAAAAAGGTGACATATCTGAGTACCAGTCAGAAGTATCCTTAATGTGAAGCTCTGCCTCCAACAGCCAGAAGGAAGGGAAAGAAGTTAAATTTAGTTCCTTATCTTTGATATCTGATAAAAACTTAAGATAGTGCAGTCAAATATAGATAATGAAATTGAAAAGGTGACTGTAAGATTGGCCAGAAATATATTTTATTTTAGGGCAATTAATGTCTTTAAACTCTAATATGGCTGTAAGATTCAGACCAGACTCATAGAAAGTTAATCTTGCGTATTTTACTATATATTATCTTTTAAGTGGTTTGACATGAGTAAGCTCTGATTTAGTAATTTTCAGCACAGAAGACGTTTAGACATTGGTAGAAGCTGGAATAAATTGGGTTTAACAGTGAAAGTTTTGTAGGATCAAGGTTATATGGTAAAATCATTGTTTTCAACAGCAATTCTGTGACTATATTTTAATGTTTACTTAAGTTACAAACCTAAAAATATAGTCACTGAAATGCTGTTGAAACAACACTACAGGGGTTCCCAAGATTAATTTGATTGGTCACAAGATGATTAAAGATCATAAATCAGTTTAATGCTCTCTGAATACTGCTCAGTGTGTTGTCAGTCTTCTTGACATGTTTCATCATCACATAGTCACAGACACATCACCCTGTTTCCCCACAATAGCTCCAAGTGAAGCCGAGGCAAACACGTTACTTGTTCATCACTCACACGTTCCTACCTCGAATTCAGACTTACTGATTCTGTTTCATAACCTTTTAATAAATGTTTTTGGGTGTTTTAAAGGTGGGATCAGTCATTCTGGAGAAAGATTGAGAAGAAAATGATCAACAATCAACAATCAACTATCTTTCTCCAGAATGACTGATCCACCTTTAGCTGCTGAGTGTGAGCTTGTGATTGTGTGTTGTGAATATCTGGGGCACCCTGACCTGGTATCATAATGCAGACGGAGGAGGACAGACTGAGAACTGCACAGTTAAGTATTTATTTAGACACTTCATAGGACGTTTTCCATTGAAGGAAGGAAGTGATGACACTCCGGTGACACAGAAAACCAGTTAATCAGGTTTATTGAAACAAGCTGACTGTTTGTTTGTTTGTGTAACTAAATATTTTCTTGCATGTTTGAGAGGGAAGGTTGAGTGAAAAGACTTTAAGTTAAATTGTATTGTGGTGATTGAAATATATTGAGTTTCTGTTACAAAATATGTTACACATGTTAAGAGGTTTACCTGCAGTAAAGCAGAATCAAACATTAATTGGATTATTTTGTGTGATTCTTTGACATTTACCAATTCTTTAATATTTCATTTCACTGGTGATGTAACGTCTGAGATGTGTGAACGTCTGAGACAGTATTGGACAGACATCGACTCACTCTACAAAGACATCTGAAATTCAGGTCAAATTGTATAATAGGACTCTGAAACCCTGTTAAGTCGAACAGATCCTGGGAACCCGGCAGACGTTCTGACCCACTCTCGATTTTTTTGCAGCTCTGTCTTCTAACAAGCTGGCAGGATGGTCAATAGTTGCGGCCTCTTCCCAGCACAGGCCCACTTTCAGTCTGCCATCCACCCTTTATTTGCATGCCTTCTTTATTTCATCAGTGCAAACATTCTTTCTTTCCACCCATCCCTCCATCATGGTGCTCAGTGTCTAAGCATCTCCTGGCAGTGATTCATTTTCCTACTTTACCCTCCACACTTGTGACTGCTCCTCGGTGCCTTCCATCATCATCCCTCCATTTATGTGTCCAGCAGGGTGGTCAGTATGTGTCTGTATGCTCTTTCTGGCATCGATCCACCTCGCCCTTCAGTGAAGAGGACTGAAGGACTGGGACCGGAGCCAGCTGGCCTGGACTCAGTGTAACTCGGGCACAATAGCAAAGCCAGGCTACACAGAGGAGGTTAATGCAGTCCAGATCATGTGTTTTCAGCACCATTGTCCTCCTCTCTGTCTATATGCCTTAGACATACTGAATGTGCCCACAGGGAGCTTCAGATGAAAGGGTGATGACTTCCAACATTTGCTCAAGACACCAGGACACGAGACTGTAACCTCTCAAATCCCTGAGCTGACATATTAGCCAATAAGTACTGATTTATGTGACCACCTAATGTACTGTAAATACTGATAAGCTTCTCTATAAAAGGCAGACAACTATGTCTGTGCCAAGAGGTCACTCCCTTTAAAATCAACAGCAATGAAACTGAAAACTGAAGAAAGTGAAGCAGTGGATGCTGCTGTTTTCCATATGAACTGTCACTGTGGAAAATCTGAAAGTGGAGAAAGTACAGTATGTTCAATGGCAGGGGGAAAAAAGATGTGGCTCACAATAACCTTGGAGAAAATATAACTTTTCTAAACTTTTCTAAACTATCTTCTTTTGTCATCCCTCTAACCCAACTGTTGTGCGTCTGAGCAATGACTGCTGGGTGCAGCCTGTAGAAACACTGAGCCTGCTGACCTCAGAGCCAGTGAATGAGAGGAAGTTCACAAAGAGAGTGGAGGGGGAAAAAAACACACACAGAAAATCATTGAAGGAAGCAGTTGATGCTGGGCCAAGACCCTGACAGCTGTGTGGTGAAGGACAGTCCAGCCTCTGCCTGTTTCAGAACAAAAAGGAGCTGTAGAAGTAGGGCAGAGAAAGCAGACGTCTCGGGGTGAAATAAATTGTTAGTAACCATCATGCAGCATGCAAACGTAGTATATTTATCTGACTTCAGAAATGAAGAGTCTAAATACATTTTAAAGAAAATAATGGTGCTTTTAAAAGTAGGTAAGCAAGTGATGGATCCACTTTTGAAGCAGTTTTTCCATCTACTGATTATTTTCTCAATTAGTCGATTGGTCTATGAAATGCCTATTGTGGTGTCTCCAATTATCTTGTTTCTTTAAACCAACAGTCCAAAATATTCAATCTACAGTGATTTAAAGATAAAGGCATCAAATCATCAGACTTGAGAAGCTGGCACCAGTGGTGTTTGGCATTTTTGCTTGTGTCCAGGCCTGCAGGGCAAATTAAAATAGTAAGGAATCCATTGTACTTGACAACACAGAAGAGCTTTACTAATTCAGAAGAGACCACGTAAAATTCTCAAAATATACAATTTATTCAAAATGTGTTAATGCAACCATCAATATATTCCAGTAATTACAAAATCAGTAGTTTTTTCGTCTTTATAATCTTATCCTTTTTATAGACAATGAGGCTTGCAGACAAACACAAGCTTTGATATATATTTATATATATCATGAGAACACAGGTGACTGTCCCTTTCTAGCTAATACTGACCAGGTCCTAATTTCAAATTACTATTCAAAGTAATCGATTTCATTAATCGGGAGGCAGAGCTGAAATCTGAATTGAAATGATGCAGCAGCACGCACAGACGTGAGCTGGAGTAACTTCAATGAATTTCAGCTGACTCATAACAAGATGATGTCACTGCCTTGGTCACTTCCTAAACAAACGAGGAACCAAAAATAGGCAATGTAGCAGCCTTTTTGACTGCAACTTCATTTGTACTTCCTCAAATTGAATTGGAAAAACAACCTGCTTTATATGAGAGCACAACATTTAAAAACTTTGCAGAAATTTGCACAGAAACAAAGTCAACTGCAGACACTGGTCACCGCAAGAGCAGGGGGAAAACATTAAGTATGACGATGACACCTGGGTGCACTCCACTTTACAGATAGATTTTAGACTGCTGGACTACTAAGGGAGAGGGGGTGGGGTGGGGTCTATATAGACTCACAGCTTCCTCCTCAACAACCAAATGTCTGCTAATACTGTTCAATGTGGGTAACTGTATTTTCCTATAAGTTCAACAGTAACAACACAGACATGTAAATGCAGTTCATGGGAACAGATAAGGGGGATCCCAATACAAACGTATTTACAAACGAATCTGTACAAATATTTGACACTGTACAGTTGATGTTTTGGGGATAAAGTGGTTAATCGCATGTTTAAAAGGGTTGGCTATCAAACAAACAAATCTCTATAACGGCAAAGAAAGCCTTCCCCCAAAGTTTTTAAATGTCCTTATAAGTCGTTTTTTTTTCATCTTTGGCACTCACAAGAAGATTAAAGGAGTAGTTTGACATTTTGGGAAAAATATGCTACTTTCTTGCCAAGATCAGGATATTGATACCACTCTAATGTCTCTCTGTTAAATGTGAAGCTGGAGCTTAAGACAAAAACTGGAAACAAGGGAAACAGCTAACATGGCTCATTAAAAAGGTTTAAAAAATCCCCTTACCAGCTCACTTTTTCAAGGCAGATATTCGATGTGTCAAAGGAGGAAAAGCAAGAGTATTTAATAACATTAATGAAGGCCATATTCGATTTAGGTGAGCTAGGTCCTAGGTTTGTGTGCACAGTGCAGTGCTGGCTCACTGGAGAGGTTTCCTACACTAAATGGAACACAGCCATTGTTAATATCAAAATCTGCTGTGGAAAAAGGTCTATTAACTCGTTATATCTTGTTTGTTTAATCTTTACAACAACAAAACAAAAGACGTTGTAGTTTTACAGCTGGGTATGTGCCATACTGGTTGCCAGGCAACCAGCGGAGAGGAACTTAATGCACTGAAGTGTCCAACCAACAAATAGCTGCTGACAAGGTTATTATAGTTAATTAAAACTAAACTAAAGCTACATGTGAAAAAAACATTTTAGTTAACTGAAATAAAACAAAAAAATAACTAACTTAAACCATATTGTGTGCTTACGAAACTAATTAAACTAAAATCAAAATGTGCATAAGATGTCTTTAGTTTTAGTCGTGCTTTTGATCAAAAAACACATCAAACATGAGACTGGGATGAATGCATGACTGTGAGTCAGCTGCCTTCAAAAGTGTTTGTGTTTTCATATCTATTTTTAAAGTCCTAGATCTCACCCATGACAAAAAGCTTCCATATTATTTTAAAAAACGAACACTGAAACTAATAAAAACGAAACTAAAACGAAACTAAAACTAAACTGAAACAAACCAACTGTCGGAAACTAACTGAAACTAAACTGACTTAAAAAAAAAAATTCGAACTAATGAAAAATACAAAACCATGATAACTCATGATAACTGGTTTCCCCCTTGTGCCAATATTTATGCTAAGCTAAGCTAAGCAGCTGCTGGCTCCAGCTGTGTATCGAGCGTACAGACATGGGAGTGCTATTGATCTTATCGTCAAGAAAGCAAATAACCATATTTCCCAAAATGTCAAACAATTTTAATGAAGCAGTTTATATTTTGTGTTGATCCCATGATGCATTTAAGGACACCCGACATGATGACGTTGGCTCGCTACATATCAAATGTGTGGATTCATGTTTAGTTTGTTTTTTAAACTGAGGCAAGCATAGAGTCCATGTCTCTCTTCAGAAAACTCATATTATACTTACAGTAATTCATTACATAACATTTACAATTGTTGTTAACAAATACAGTGACTGGGAGGAGATAAAGCCACACAATGGCCACCGGAAAAAACGAAAAACAAAAACATAAACAAATAACACTGTTATTTGTAGTGACACAAATATGACACCCATCCCATTAGAGAATGGCTTGTGTGTGTGTGATTTTAATAACATGTACATATAACAGACAGTAACCCTCACTTCACTTTATCAGTCGAATGTTTGATTTTCCATGTCAGAAGGTGCTTTGCTGGGAGACTCCCCAGCTCATCTCATATTGCATTCACACTCTCCACACACCATCCAAATAATAAATACACTCAACTTTAGGAACCATGATGTTTTTTTTTTTTTACACATTACATTAATTTCATAAATAAAGAAATGTACAGTAAATTTCAACCATGTCCTGCTTAAATTATCTAAACGAGAGAGCACAAAGTGGGTTATGCATAAAACAAAGCATGACCTGTCAGTTCAGGTTTGATATGAGAGGACGGTGAGGTGAAGTATAGTCGACAGAATACAGTGACAGTCTCAAACACTAGTGCACTACTATACTCTTTCCTGTTATCTCTCGCTGCAGAAGTACACTTCCTGAATATTTGAACACTGTTTTATGGCATTCCTTCCCTTTACTGATGCAGGCAGCAGTTTAACATGATAGATACTTCAAAAGAGATGTCACAGATCTCTATTTCTGCTACGTTTTCGCTGTTTCTGATATGTTGCAGTACAACGTGACGTAACGCGATACATGTGGACTGTTCTGCGATGGCCTACTTGCACATGACGAGTAGATGAGAAAAAAAAAAGAAGCAGAACACTGTGGTTTGACAACAATGTGAGTTTGCCCTGCAGAAAATGCTGTTTAATTCCATGATAACCATCCGTATGTAGGATAAAAAAAACTTTCTGTCTTTGTCTCTGAGGGCAGAACATGCACTTTGTACCTTGAGCTCTTCTCTACTTTCCTGATTCAGAATGTATGACCCTTTCCAGGTGAAAAGCTTATGTAAAAAAACTGTCCACACCTTGATTCTTAAGGTGCACAGGGACAGCGGGGACAGAATAACAGCTTCTTGCACTTTTTCTATCCATTTGGCATGTCTTGTAGAGAGATTCCATACATAAGAAGGAATTTTAATCCAAGTGGTGTCCCGAGGAAAGAAGTGGCGCTGCTTAGTTCCTTTCCTCTTTTCTTCACTTGAAACACGCCTGCATTTGGGGGAGGAGTCACATGGCAGGGAGGTACAAGGATACGTTTTTAAACCTTCTTCAAATCAGCCATCTTCTCTGGGAGAAGTTAAAAGGAGGGGAGAGAAAGGATGTCAAAAGACACGAGCACTCCCTCTTTCCTTCCTTCCCTCTCCTCCCTCCTACAGCACATTCCTCGCTTCCCTGTTCTCTGTGCAAACATTTCCTGTTCCGTCAACAGTCACATGACCAAAGCGCTACGACACGCAGCAGCAGGTCCGCGCCTTCGGCTGCTCTTCCTCCATTGGCTGTTTCAGTTTGAGGAGGGGCGGGTCGCCACTGGCCGGCGTGTAGTAAACCGCGTTGCCATTGGAGGAGACCAGCGGCATGCGGGGGTCCTCAGAGTTGGTTTTGGCATCAGTGAAGGAGTCTGTGGAGCCGTTACCTAGGTGACCGTTGAACAAGGGGTGATTCAATAGTTTGGCGGCTGCCCTCTGTTTCTTGAGCTCCGACAGAGTCTGAGCGCGCTCTCTTGGCCAGGCTTCCTCCTGGGTGGGCTGGGTGGTGATGACCCCGCCCTTATCAGACGATGGCGTGTTGCCATTGGCGGGCTGTTGCGGCGGCGTGGACGTCGTCGTGGAGATGAGGCCGTTCTGTTTGCTGTTGCCATCTTTGAGGATGGTGGGCAGCTTGGGCTTGTCTGGCAGCTCCACCGCCACGACTGGTTTGACCTGCAGGACATCAACAAAGATTACGTTAATTCCGCTATAAGGCTTTTTTTCTTTTGGATGATTAAATACATGGACGCCTGACTCCTCTGCAGGGGGAGATCAGATATCTTTGATCTGGTGCCCAAGCTATCAAGCTCAAATAAAATGAGATGTAAAGCCATTTTTTTCAAGAGTTTCCCCTCAGAAATCTTTATTCAATGTATTTTTTCTTCTTTTGTGACAAAGGGTTGAAATGTACTTTTCTGGTGTATTTTTCCACAAACCTGCTCCATCATACCTCCATTTCAGAACATGGTTGCCTTTATTTCTCCTAAATCCTGTGTGCTGAAGCTTAATATTGCTAACAATAGTGACTGCATAACTAGAGCAAGACAGCATTTCTTTTTCCAGTAAAGGAAAAGCAACTGTAGCACTCTTCACTTCAAATACTATGAGACTATGCTGCATTCTTATCTGTTGACTCTACTGTTGATGGATTGTATTGAACTTTTCCATTGTGGGTTTCTTCCTGTGTGACTGGTTTTAAGGAAACATCTTTATCTCTGATACACCTACACCAAAATCTGACATTTAGACTCCTGGTGTATGGCAGAGACGGTTATATTCCTGATATTAAACACACCTTTCTAGTTGTGCTAAAAATATCTAATTTCATTATGCTGTGTGCAGGAAGTTAAAAAATACACCACAAAACAGAGGTTGAATTGTCAAATGCTCCTTTAGAACTGTAACAGATTTGATTTATAACTATGCATAGGTTTAACTAATTATAAAAAAAATAGTTACAAGAATAAAAGAAGAATAACCTAAAGACTTACATGAACCACCTGGTTGTTCTCCTGATCAGACTCCTTCTCTTTTTCATCCTCCTCCTCCCTCCCTCCCCTCCACACGATGGCCTCCGTCTCGTACTCTTTACGGCACAAGTTGTGTCTGTCTGACAGGCTGGCTCGCCGCACCACTTTTCTGTAGATACGGACGTTTCCACTGAGTTAGTACAAGTATAGAATGAAACATGGCAACAGATATGAATAAAGAATTTTTAAGTGCAATTACAATGCATTACTGTACTGATTTCTACATCATACTGTCTGGAATTGCTTATACTTAACAAATTAAAGTTAGAGATTAGATTATAAACTGATGTGCTCATAAACAGTGGAGTATGCACATCCAAAAAACATTTACAAAAACTCTGATCCGCACACTGTACTGATGGGTCCCTTCATTGTCAAGGATTTGAATATTAAATATACTATTAGATTCAATTTAGTGGGAGCTTGATCTGCTGATCTTCCCCTGTCTCTTGTACAAAACAATGCTAAACACCACTTGTAGTAGCAGCAGTAACACCAGCAGATGTCAGCACTTACCCACGACTGCCTGCACTGGACGTTCGCCTACACAGTGAGGTCTTGTGTTTGAGCTGTGACTTCATGATAATGTCGTGTTTGTGTTTAAGGTCCAGCAGGATGGCTCTGAACTCCTCATCCTCACACAGATCTTAAAATGAGAAGGATGAAGGACAGGAGATGTCAGTTCTTTTTTTAAATGAAACTGTGTTTTCTGTGCTTTTGTGCTCTCTTACAAATAAAAAAATAAAAAAAACAAGGATCATAAACGGAATTTGTTTAGATAATCCTTAGCAATGCTACTAGTCTCTCATGCTGACTGTTAACATATACTTAAAGGTCCAGTGTGTAACATTTATGAGGCTCTAATGGCAGAAATATAATATAATATTTATAACTATGTTTTATTAGTGTATAAATACCTGAATATAGGAATTGTTATACATACATAACTACATAACTAGTAACAAAAATAGCAAAGAAAAGGTTTGGATTGGCTCTGACGAGATTTAAATCAGTATTTAACCAGAACAAATCTATGATGTAAAACTTGCATTGACTGAACAAGCTGGAAATGAGACTTTGCTGAGATAAGACATTCGTTATCTTAACCTCTAACCAGGTGTATTGATCAGAGAGTGTTGAGGTGTAAATATACCGATGGGGGTCTCCTCCAGGAAGGTCTTGGCATTGAGACTGGCTCCATGAGACACCAGCAGCTCTGCCACATGCATCTAAAACAACAACAACAGCAGAAGCAAATTACGTTAATGGTTTCAGAAACCTTTGCTTGTGTGTGCTTATCGGTTTCCTGCTTCCTGTTATGTTTACCTTACCTGACCCCAGCACGCTGCAGCATGAAGAGGCTGCCATCCATCTGAGTCTCTCAGGTCCATGCGAGCTCCCCCCTCCAGCAATAGCTCTGCAGCCTGCACGTAGCCATTTGCTGCTGCGATGTGGAGCTGTAAGGACAGAGGGGGAACAATGATTAGGTTATTCCAGATCACAGGATTTGCTATAGATCGGGCTCTGTGTATAAACTCCAGTGTGGATTTCACACTAAAGCCACAATTATAAATATTGTGTACTCAAAACTACTGACCATATGAGACATCAAAATATTGACTTGCATCCAAGTATGGGGGTGTGGGGATGTCACTGGGCACCTTCAATCACTAATGTTTTCCTAACATTACATTGTAAAAAGGCTCTCCCATGATTTCGAGCTGATGGGGTGCTGGGTCATGCTGGAATGGCTCTTCAGCAGTTTTTAAACTGAATTGCATTAACAGTAACAGATAAAAACTGATCCTGCCGGCTTGAGATGACCTCTACAGGTATCTGTATGAGGAACCAATTGTACCAGGAGCAATCAATAGTGAATCACTCAGCACCAGGCCAGTCAATACATACTTGTGTTATACAGCCAAACATTCAGTCTCATAGTTCCTTTCTTTAAATTCAAGAGGAAATACGTAAGTTTCCAAAGATACCAAATACGACCGTCACAAAATCCCTAACTGCAGGTGACATGTTGAAATTGTTTTCTTTGACTTTTGAAATTCAATTTGCTGTCACAGAGAAACCCACTAAATATTAACATTTCAGAAAATGGAACTAGTGATTTTTTGGCATTAAAACTTGCTGATGGATTAACAAACTAAGCTACAGAAGCTGACACATATGTTTTTATGTGATCCTGTCAAAGAGAGTGTTGTAAGATGATTTTAACAACCTTAAAGCTACCTTAAGAGGAAACAAAGGGATAGAAAATGTACAAGCTCAATACTAAAGGTGTGTTTATTGAATGCTAGGGCTTATTTTAGGTATTTAGACATTTTTGGGTGCAATATGTTGTGAGAGCTTAATCAAGATTAACTGAAGGGGTTTTTATGGAGATGTTCTTGTCCTAGCCTGCAAATGACTGTGAATCTGTCTGAGAAACTTACACACATAATATGAAGCCAATGCCAGCCTTTATTTCATCTATATCAGATAGGAAACCTGATGATTTCTCAGGCAGAGGTCTTTCATTGCCATATCAATAACCTTACACCCCACTGAAACTCAAACATGGCTGGTCTGAAATAACAAGCGGGTTAAGACTTCCATCGCTGGAGAGTTTGAGCAACTGGTGACGATGAGAGTTTATACACAAACTGAAGCGAGAGAGAGATGCTCACAACATAAGATCCAACATTATTGATCCTCTTGCGGAAATTAGGATGTACTATAACTGGCAGAGGAGTATCACAGCCCTTGTGCACTGCAGGGACTCAGACACATGCTCTTCATATGGTGATTTTCATCAACTCACTGAAATACATCAAATGAGGAATGCAACCGAGACATTAAAGAAAATAAATTAATTCATGGAAACAAAACAAACAGTGACATATAAAAGGTAATTACAGGCATTTCCTTTTTACAAACTGCAGCCATTGTAATTCAAAAGTGTTCTTTACCTGTCTCCCAGAAAACAGCAGATGGAGCACGCTGCCACATGTATATAGAGCACCTAAATTACTGCTTTTTAAATATGTCTCAGTGTCTGTTAAAAGCATCTTTTTATGTCAGTTCACAATGTTTATAACCCACAATAAATATATCTACAGCAAAACATAAAATAATTGGAAAACACAAAGTGAAGGCTTGAAGTCAGGCTTCATAGAACATCAGTTATGTCAATTATCTTTGAGTACCACACATGTAAGTGGATGTTTATCTGAAGTGCTACAATAAGAGGACATCTTAAAGCATATCAGGAATGTTGAGGTCCATCAGTTCCTGGGGGCCTCGGGTCTGTCTGGTTTTATTGCCTTTCGGATGGTGCTGAGAATGAGAATGCAAAGCAGCTAATAGAGGATTTGATGCTTTTGTTTCCAAAACACTGAAAACCATTTCAGGGTTATTACTGGACCAAACACAGTATCATTACACAATAAAAGCCTTCTCACTGATTTCATTTTAAGTCTGCTAACTGGTGTTGGAAAGTACAACTCCTTATGTGAAAAAAGTTGTATAAATCCTTTTGTACCGCCACAGGGAGCTGCTCGAAACTGGACAAATTGCCTCAAACTTCTCTTCTCTTTCATTCACTGAAGTCAACATCGGTTGGGCGGTGAAAATGAAAGAAAATCTGAGTGTATGGAGATGAGGGGCCAGTATACTTAGTCAGAATTGCTTGTCACTAGTGCTTTGAGCTAATGTCAACTTGCTAACACTGTTCTCAATGACGTAACATTTAGTCAGCATACTAATATCTGCTAATGACCACTAACTAACTAACCGAAGGTATTGTTGAGATATTTCCTTCTGGACCAAAGTGGTGGACCGGCATTTCCCATCCCTAGAGCCACACCGCTGGCATCACAAATGCCAAAAATCATAATGTCCCTGTGTTTGCAATGGCTTCCTCAGAGCATTTCAGTTTCCTCTCACAGTATCACTACAAGCGTGTCTGGGGTGTACCCTGCCTCTTGCCCAAAGCATGTTGGGATAAGCTCTTGCTGTCTTATCCGGTTTTTGGCCATCAGTTTAAAGACATGCCCTATAGGTGAAGTGGAAATTTTAAACTGCTGTTAGGTATGATCGTGTACGGTGTCCGGGTCTGTCTATGTGTGTTGGCCCTGTGAGGGACTGACAACCTGTTCTGGATCTCCCCCTGTGACTTAAGGATATGGGAAGGAATGTGTTTATAGGATAGATAAATTATTTTCCTTACAAATTGTAACAGAAAGCACCCCATCTTCCCTTTTAACTGACGGATATGTATTTTTAATTGCTTTCAAATGGTTCTATTTTAATTGTATTTCCTTTCTTACGTTGGATTTCCTGATTGTTTAATGCATTATGTAAAGCACTTTGAAATGTCTGTGTATATACAAACTAAACGTGCCTACTTAAATCTGCCTGTCAGTATGACTCATATTATTCTGTTACCTGTGAAAAACATTGCAAAGAATTATTTATTCACATGGTATTAATGTAAGAACTGGACTCAGTTTCAAGTTAACAGTGATTTTAGTTGAGTTATTTCTCCTCCCAGAGTCTGATCAACCCATTTGCAGCCACAAAGAGATGAAAATCCTTGTCCCTGCACATCAAAACAAGGACACAAAATGTATTTCAGTGAAAAACAAAAGATTAACCTTACATAACTTCCTACCAGTTCCAGGTCTCTTCCTTTCTTCTTTGCCAGAGATTTTAATAAGGCATGCTCTAGTTTGCTTCATCATGCTCGAATGAAGATTAACAGAACGCATAAAGCAGGGGGACAAGCAGCTCAATCAGACAATCTGTGGTAAGACTTTAAAGCTTAACAAGGTTATTTTGGGCTACTACCATATAATGTCCCCAGGCTATTTTCATCCAGTGATTTGTCACTGTGTTTCCTCAGCGTAGCTAAATCCCTGATACATAATAAAGACTTCATTAAGGCATCTGACATTATACACTCTACTCAGGAAATTATACGCCAATGATTTTTTGTGCCCTACTTGACTTTTTAATGCATCAGTGGACTGAACTTATAAACAAAACAAATTCCCTGACAACTTTACTAGATACACTTTCCCATAAATACTAAAACAAGACTTGCATGTGGCTGTGACTCACTATATAAAGCAAAAGAAAGTGTCTTCATATCAGGGCTGTTCTTCTAATAGTCGAGTCAGCTGTTAGTTGATGAGAAGTGTGAGATGAGAGTCTTAGTCTATGCACTTTTTATTAGTCGGCTATTCGCAGAAAACCCAAAAAAGGGGTCAAACGGAAGCTGCGACTTGCCACCAGGACGAAAGTATCAGGGGATTGTTGCAACGTGGACCTTTTCTCTTGTAAACACATCGCTGCTGGATGTGCTAACTGCTAATCAGCCTCCCAGTGACCATGGCCGGGATCAAACAAGGCTTCACAGGGTTTACAGCAGCTCCGACCAGGACTAGACACAGTGGGTTCAGGTGGGGACATGATAGGAGTGTCTTTGGAGCAAATTGATTGAAAGTAATGTTATACATCATCTATTTTATATCCGATGAGTCCACAAGTTTTTGTTTTTGTGAAGTTATTTATTTCATGTTTTGAATTGAGTCTGCAATGCTTCCACACTTTTGTAAATGGAGAGTAAAACCTGAAAAGACAAGAAAGGGCACAAGTACCAGGCTGTGGCTATTTCCTGGAAGCACAACATACCACCCAGTACGTACCAAACTCTGAAAAGTCTCAGCAGAAAAGATTCAATAATTAATTTTTGTGGGCACTGCAAAAGGATGTATCCTGTAACAGGGTTATAGTGCTGTGTGCACCACAGGACTGAATGCTGAATCGTGCAGATAAACAGCTGTGTATCTTAACTGATAGTATGCAAAATATAAAGTCCACATCAAGTTATAAGAATGTGTCTCAAGTACTGTTTTATTGGCTTACTAATGCAAACCTACAACAGCTACCGGTCTCATGAATCTATTATCACATCAGCTAGGGTTTGGTTATTGCTCAAATTATGTCACAGACACACATTCTTTGATTTAGATTTTTTACTGCCATATTTGTTAATTCATGAGGAGTCATTATGTTTGAAGCTTTTATGTTTTGTTTCAAATACAGTCATTTCTTATTAATAGACATCTTTTTTTTCTGCAAGAGCAAGCTTTATGCTTATTTATCAGGTTCATGGTGGATTGTGTTTCATTTCAGATAGCCGTGACTGTCTCACTCAGCAGCTATGAAACAACTCATTTGGATTTTAAATACATTTCCAATCTAATCTTTCATCAGTTTGTGCATTCTGTGGTAAAATGTAGATTTTATGATTCTCATAATGAATTATTGTATTGTATTGTATTATTACATGTTTATTCCAATCTACTGTTACATTGTTTTTAATTCATGACTGCAGGTGTAGTTAGTGCTGCTCACTAACGCATCACTTTTGTATCTGCAGAGCGTTTTAAAATCATACAGCTGATTTGCCTTTAAGAAGACCATAATGAGTCTCTAAATGCCTGATTAGCTTTCAAGGTTTTATAGCCTCATGAGCCAGTATTGCAGAGCACATAACCATTAAAAGGTGAATCTATAATAAAGATGGTCTCCTGAATATTTACACAGCATTTCCTTCTTCCTCTCAGTGCAGACCTGTGATGCTTGATAATTTGATAAGAGTTGTGTGCGTTTTTGCAGCTTAATCAGAATCTAATAAATCCCAGTTTCTGTGGCAACATAACAAAGGTGTTGGTGCACATAAACTGCATGGATGCACTCAGTCTGGTGTCAATCACAGGCTGTATAATTAAAAATGGACGTAGTCTCTGTAATGGCACCCATAGGTATCTGGAGAGTCGGTGTGAAGCTCAGTCACATATTTACTCAATCAAAAAATGAGCAAATATGTGGAGCGTGGGTGGAGCTGAGTGAAGCCTGGATAATGAAAACAGCCGCCTGTGACGGCATCCACCTGGTTTAGCTTTGAATGCCACAATCCAAACACTGTTGCTGACCAGGTAGTTAGTAGTTGTTTTTTTTCAAAATAAAAGTCTCCCAGTAGAGAATGGCTTCTACTTAAAGCAGCTGCAGGAAGGGGTGAGTTTTCATTAGCTTCAGAGATCATATATAATGTTTTAATGTCCTTGTCACTGTAATACATTCATTGTATTATCCCCAAACAATAAGATTTAAACTAATGTGGTCCATTATAAAAACAATTAATACACACATATAATACTAGTCATCTTACATCATTTAAACTGCTACTTTGTATGTGTTTATATTTTTATCTCAGTTAATGGTTTTACCCTGTTATATGCACTTTAAAAAAAAAAGAAAACTCAAAGTTTTGTACCTTTTTGTTGTACATTTTGTCTGAGTTGAAAAGACAATAAACTTGAAAAAAAAACATTTAGTCAGCTTGTTTTAAATTGAGATTGGTGGAGAAAAAGCTTACCAGTGTGGCTCCTTGAGAGTCCTGTTGGTTGACCTCCTCTGCCTGTCTCAGCAGTTCCTGAATGTCTCCCAGCATCTTCCTCTCTGTTGACGCTCGTGTCTCATTGATCATCTCTTGGGTGATGCCTGTCAATCAAATACACAAGCACAACCACAGCGTTAATCACAAGGGAGAAAGTTTTTTCCTGCCAATATTAATGTTGGCACTGTACCTAAAATGAATTTTAAATACACTGATGTTTTCTATGAGAGACAAATAATGGATTCCCTAATAAAAGCTTCCCCGCAGGTATTGAAAGTTTAAGGTTTCAAGGGAAGAAGAAATAACTTAGACATGAGTAATTTCTTACATACTGACTAAAAATGAAAATAATGTTAATGGTTATAGGAAACAAATTCATTATCAAATAATTATTTCAATGTTTTCACTTGGGGCACATCATTTGTAGGATCAATACAGAGCTGCCAGAGCAGTATTTGTATCTGAAATATCAGAGTTTTGATGCACTTTTATTCTGGCTTTCCAACCATCTCTTGGCAAAGAGTTTTGTGTTTTTTGGCCCAGTTGAAGCTCAGGTGATTCCGTCTGTCACAGCTACTCTAAATTCCTCTTTTAGTCCACCACCCTACTGCCAGGTAGGACTCAATACTGTGACCGCCACACTTGACTTCTTTTCTCACAGCTCAGCAGTAATGTCCTGTACTGTCCAGCAAATTTAAATAAAATGACAGATGTCAATCAGAACTGTGACTCCTATACTCTCGCAGTGTGTGACTGAATATGTGAGTAAACTTGAAGGATGGATGGGGAATAAAGCTACAATTTATTTGTTTAGACATTGTGGATACCAATAAGATTATGTACATTCCTTTATTAAAAAAATAATGTTTGAATTTGTCACTTGAAAAGGTTCTAACTGTCCTTTAAATGCTGGAAATGATAGCTTAAAGTTGAAATTTATTTTTTTGCAGTCAAAATCGGTATCATTATCAATATTGGCGTACATTTTGTCCAGTATGCAACAATATGAACAGAGGTTGTGCAGGAATTTACAATACTGTAGCAAGCAGAACAGAATAAAATAGAAGAAGCAGCTCTCAGCAATGTCAACTAGGATTGGTTAACAATGTATGTATATGCTGAATTATTTAACATGTACCTTTTTTAATAAAGGCATTTCTTTAAGAAAGTAGCCTTCTGATAGTTTTGGCTTCCATATCCATAATCAGTGAATGTTTCCCCTCCAACGGTATCGGTCTCAAAATTCCCATATCGGTTGGGCTCAACTTGAAATAAAAAGTAAAAGTAGACATGCATGCCCTGACTGTGCATATGTTACTGACAGTATTTCAGCCCTACAACCTTTCTCGTGACACTGAGTTATAAATTGAACCTGGGCGATTCTCAACTAACATTTCAGCCTCCAGCCTGCCATTTTAAATCCAAACTCCTGTTTCAATGTCAGACTCTCATGCCCCACACTGACATGTGATGGCCAGTGGTTTTGATAAAGGTGCTGAAAAATGGTGGGTAGGTAAACTGGTATTTCTCTCTGGAGGGTGTTTAAAACCGCAGGAATCAGGACGATGACAGTCCCCCCCTTTGTCGATTTAAATGAAATGCATCCCTCCAGCTATTATTTTCCTCTGTGTTTTCTCTTGTTTATTTTAGCAAGCATGAATCTCTCTGGTACTAATATTACAAATTTCACTTGCTTGTTTCTGTCATATTTTGAGCTACAGTGATGCCTCACAGCTTAGCAATGCCCCAAAGGAGAAAAGTGAGAAAACTGTCAATATATCACATAAATAACAAAGAAGAGCCTTAAACTGAAAATCTAACTGATCCCATGAAATCCTAAGGAACAAAAATTCTCAAACATCTTCAATCCACATCTATGAACGAGCATGTAGTTCCTAACTTCTCACACTGGATATCAGGTGGGCTGAACTTCAAATATAGCTGTGTTCTGCAATGACAACAATACTTTAATTAATTATTTCTAATTTAATTTTTAAGACCGGCTCACTGACAGATGGTTACATACTGTTAATTGTGTCCGAGTATAACAACTCTGTATCTATCTTGACAAGCTGCTGCTAATGTTAGCTCAGCTTGTTTCTCTGATAACTTAAGATACAGACGTCCAATGACTAAAATCCCCCACCAGGTTAAAATACATAGTTAAAAACTACCAAGATCTAAAAAGACTGTCGTAAAAATGTGGCTTAAAACAGGATAAAAAGTCAATTTATGACAGACAACCACAACACATTCACAAGTGGGATATGACACCATTGACAGGCGACCAGTGAAAACGCACAGTTACCTGAATACAATTTCAGATTTCTCTGAGTTTTAACATTGTTGGAAAACAACTCAACAAAATATATAACAGTTCTAGTGTTTATAGACATTTTAATGCGGAAATGTTACGTATTATATTTTTAAGATACTTGATTACAATCAAAAAGTCCAAACCTCCCTCCCATGTTAATATTTTATGTCTGACATGAAGTATGTTTCGGAGGAGTTGATTAACAGTTGTAACAGTGACACAAACTCATTACAACATTAGTTGTAGCTCCAGGAAGATGAAAGAGAGAAAGTAATCCAAATTGAATTAGGAATGTAATAAAGGATTATTTTCATTATTCATTAATCTGTTGCTTATTTTATCTGTAACTACCTAGAGGCCAAATCTCTAATTTGGCCTCTAGGTAGTTACGAAGTTTAGTTCAAATCTTATGTGTGACATCACTAATGCTACGACCATGTTTATCAATAGTCTATGAGGTTAACTGGACTTCTCTATCCCTCCATTATTAGGGATACAAAATGATATTAGCTGTGTCGGCTGTGTAGCCAGTTGGTTTCACTTTCACATTTCCCATTTTATTTCACTGGTTCAGTTCCTGGTAGACGTTTCCTCCTTATCACTGCGGCTCATCACAGATGAACTGGGCTCTGCAGAGGAGGATCAAGGAAGATCAGTTGATGCTGCATATGAAGTGTGTGTGTGTGTGTGTGCGCCCATCCCTGCAGCATCTCTGGAGAGAGAAGTCTTATCCAGCAGTACAGTGCTAAGAACATTTACGGGAGCAATTAGAAGCGCCGCTCTCCCTTTGATAGGCTTAATAATCATTCTTCTCACCTACTGTACCGCTATTTGCATTCTGCAGCTCGAGAGGCCCTATTGTAAGTTGAGAGCCTCATTTTCGGTTGTCTCTGTTTTCCCCCACCCTCTCTCTGTCTATATGAGTTTCTAATATTGTCTCACATCCAGGATGAAACTCACACAATGTTGGTGTCATGCACTGTTGCACTGTTTAAACTATCAAAATCATTAACCCTGCACTTGTTTACAATACAGTACTTAACATAACAGGGCTTTTTTGACCTTTAATTATTCAGGGAAATATGACTGAACACTCATGACGCTCTCCAGCAGCAGCCGGTTTTCACACATCAGTTTTCTCCTGTTTACCACTGAGCAGCTCCACTAACGCATTTGGGATTTACTATTATGCTGAAGGGCACCTTGACCAAGGAAAATTGTTTGCTGCTACTTCTCTAGCATGTACAAATGCTATATTGGCAGCAACCCATAGCCTCAAACATGTAAACAAACGGGTGTGTGCAGATGATAGATAGATAGACATAGATAGATACTTTATTTATCCGAGGGAAATTCAAGCATCCAGTAGCATACAAGACATACATTACACATACATTAAACATTAGAATAAAATAAAAAAATAAAGTTAACTAAAATAAAATTAAAGTTAACTTAACACAGTAGCCACAGTAAACAGTGCAAACAGTAAGCAGTGCAGATGGAGTGCAAATAGTTGATCAAGATGCTAGTTTGATTAGCCACAAGTTGTCCTGAAAGTAGATCCCTATAGAGAGCTGGAGTAAAACTGTAAAACCTCTGCGCTCTGCTCCAGAAGTAAAAAAACCTCATTCAAAATTGTCATTTACACTAATAAATAAAAATACAGCCTTGGAACAGAGCCTTGCTCAACAGTTTGATATGTGACTCACTTCTTATGTTTAGATAAGGACGTATAAACAGTATTTAATACCGTTGTTTAATATTTCTGATTTTATAGAAACTTAATGAACTACATTACAAACATCTATAAAGCTTACTAATTAATATGTTAAGCCTCGTTTGTTTAATCCATAACGAAAATTATTTGAAAAAGCAACAATAACCACTTTCCGAGGGGTTATGTACCAGACTATGGCTGGGAGAAGTTAACTTACTGAAGTTTCTGCTAGTTGCCTGGCAACAGCTCTCTGTCAAGAAATAGTCCACGTCATCCCCCCATGAAACAGTAAAATTGTAGTTTGTTTTTATTATTATTACTTATTTTGTGTTTTTATGCTTTTAATTGGACAGCGAAAGGCATCGACAGACAGAAAAAGGGGGAGAGAGTGGAGATGGCGTGCAGCAAAGGGCTGCAGGTCAGAATCAAAACGGGGCTTCTGCAGTAAGGACTCAGTACATGAGGCGAACGCTCTGCCAGGTGAGCTATTGGGGCGCTCCAACACTGCAGTATTTGAAAGTGGTAACAATCTTCTCATCTAACTGTCCAACAGAGAGTGGATGAGCTCCCAAAATACTGAACAGGAGCCAGTCTGGGCATTCCTACTACAGTATTTCTCTAAACTCAAACCCCCTGCAGCCACAGACTTTGCTGCTTGGTTTCAACTGTGTGCGCACACGCCTGCCTGTAGATGTAACCGTTTACTAGAAAACAGAAAACAAAACATTGACGGAGCTTATGCTAAGAAGGCTGAGTGTGATTTCACTCCAGTGTAAATAAAGCTGTCTGTCACCCTGACTGTTTGTGTCAGTCTCTCTTTTTATCACACAAACACAGACACAAATGCGAACACATCTAAAACATAAAACACACACAGCGCGAGTTTCCCTTCCCTTCCTCCTCTGATGTGCATGTCAGTGCTGATCTCCTTCAACTTTTCATGTCACACAGATAAACTGGCCAACTGCGGCTGTTAACAGTGATACAACATGAACATACAGTATCCCAATCTGCATCCCGTCGGGGGTGAGAGAACTGTGAATATCTCAGAGCTCCCCCCCGAAGTGTCAATCCTGAAACTCTGCGGGACACTAAGTGCTTTCTCAGGTCACAACCCCGCTGCCATCTTCCCCAACAATCTGTTCCTGCGGTTGACATACTTTTAGGACTGCAGGAAGCTACAAACACTCTCTTATCCTGCGGCAGAGGTTAAGAAAGCTTTATACTGTATGTTACAAGTAAGAAAAGGGTTTGAGGGTCAAACACAGCTGTCAAATGTGCAGAATTGTGCAATATTGAACATCCTACAGCCAATCAGAGCTTAGCAGCAACAAGGCTTGGTAGGTCTGTCAAGGTTTAAATGTCTCCATGTGCCAAAAATGTCTGATGGGCGCTACAGTAAGAGTTACTCTAACACTTAAAGAGTTCGGGGGAACCGGATTAACTGTCTATCTGTTCTAAAATAAGCCGGAACTGTAGCAAGTCCGGCTAATTAGTATACTACCTACAGTATCAACCAGGCATTACTTTCAAAGCAAAGGAGCACATTATTAACCAACAGTATGAGTTTGTAGGGTCACAGGTTAGGCATGCGGCTTTAGCCTTTAAAACGACCGCTTGAAACAGTCAGCTGAAGACGTTTTTTAACAAACTCATGGAGCTAATATTTGCTCAGTTAGCTAGCTAGCTACAGGTCATCAAATCTGGCAGCGACAGTTGTCATTTCAGCTGGCAAAATCAGTAATAGAAATAAGAAACCTGCCTTTTTCTACTTCTAAGAAATAACTAAGAAGTTAGTGGTAAATCTGCCACGTCATTATTGTAAATTGCATTATGTGCCGAATGAGAACGGAAAGCTTGACAGGAGTAGCAACAATAAATAGGTGTTTAGCAGTGGTTAGATTCACATTCAGTTGTTTTAACGGTGCATGTGGTTATTAGGGACCTCTTTAACACCAGTATGACTCTCAGCTTCACAAAAACATGTACGGGAACTATGAAGGTTAAAAAACCTGTAATGGTAAAATGATCGTGGTAAAAGTTAGCTCTGGCATAATATTGAAGAAACTCTCCCTCCAATGGAATAATTATGGTACATGGAGAAGCTACTTTATCTTATTTATTCAATCTGTCTGCAGACACTGTGGGACTGATAAGTTCCTAAACCTGTTCAAGGAAGCTGTTCATGCTACCCAATGTCTGCGGCCGTGTCATCTCTTCAAACATTTATACTCTACCTCTGTTGGCCATAGCCGTCTCAATGATATCCAGTGTCGGGTCGTCTTCACACAGGTCGTAGGGCATGTTCCCATCAGAGTTGACTGCCAGCAAATCTGCCCCACTGTGAGACACAAGCAGATAAATGATTAACAATACATTTTAATAGGCTAATAAATGTTATAAATGTACAATATCCATGGATAACACGATGAAACGTTTAAAAAAAAAAAAAGGTTCAGTGTGTAACAGTTAGGAG